AATTTGTTCCATAGCCAGCTTAGGAGAGAACAGAAGGATCTGTGTTTTATTCTTTAAAAAGAAAGAAAAAATCCTATAGTGTAAGCTAGTGAGCCAAGTAATATTTATCAGCTTAAGGAACTGGGAGCTTTGCTGGACTGTACAAATCTTAAAATGTGATGATTCTAACTTTCCTTTTGAACATGAACTTTGTATCTTTGCCATGTGCTGTCCCAGGAGTTAGCTTGCTTGTCCTTCTCCCATACCCCTTATTTACCATGCTATGGCATGTGCCAGACTGTACAGGAGGTTTTAGAATTATGCATCCAGTCCCTAACATACCTGCAAACATTATTTAAATGCCAGCTGGTTTAAATTTGATGGAAAATGTCAAAGAGCAAATAAGAATATGGGTAGAGCTTAACTTTCTACATGAGTATATGCTGCTTCCATATATGCTTTTCAGATTAATGTGGCTATTTGTGTACTTTTAGTGTACTTTGATTTTTATTTTTTTTTAAATTGAAACACAGTTGTTGACATATCCTCACCCATGTTTTGTACCGAAATTCAGCAAACGAGAAGTTACATCACAGTATCATCTGCAACAACTTTACTGGTAAACAAAGAATTAGACCTTCATTGAGTCACACCAGAATTTTAGGTTATTAGCTATATGTTGTACAGTGTTGATAGTCCACATGGCTTAAGTTGTGATGGGCTTTGAGAAGTACAATTGTCATTGTTCTGAAAGTCATGGATTAAAGTATCTTTTCTTGAAGTCCCACATGCTTCAGAATCCGTTGCTGTATTTGGGGTCAGCAGTTGCAGAAGTGGTTACATTGTGCTACTTGCTGCTACTTCGTTGTACTTTGAAGTCCGAACCTCCAGTAGTGTGAGAACCAGGGCCTGACCTCTGACACCACAGGGTGTGCAGTGTTTCTGTTACATAAACTGTTTTGCTGCTTTGACTTTCAGGAGGGTATAGTATGAGAATAAGCCTAGTGAGAGGAGACTTCTGAGGTCATCTTGTTATTTGACTAGTAGTGTAAGATTCTGGTAATATAGAACATCAAAAGCAGAATAAAATTTCCTTCTGACAATCTTCTCAGAAGGGAAGTAATGTCTGGAAAATATATGTCAATCCCTGTATTCTGTGTACTTTCTAGAAATTTGGGGCAGGAGTGAGGGAGCTGCAGGGCTCTGTAGAGAAGTGTGAATTTGTGGTGCTGCTGGAATTCTTTTGCTTGTTTTTCTGTGAAGATTCAGGATTTGAGGTATGATGCTAAATTTAGCCACTTCCTAAAATATGAAGGCTTCTTGCACATATGAACAAGAAGTCACCACATAGCTTGTCAGTAGTTGGTTCCCAGTAACTTCTTGTCATTACTGAAGGGCAGCAAATCAGTTTATCCTCAGTTGCACAACCCAAGGTGAAGAAACAAAGCTGATTAGGCACTCAGTAAATTAAATTTTGTTTACGCCTTAAGAGATGTCTCAATCCACTAGTACAAGTGGCATTAGAGTACAACTTCCTGTGTCCCAATTTGAGTGACTGTCTTCAGACTTGTTTGTATCATGTAGAATTGGCAAGTGCTATTTATAAAACGGGGTGGGCAGTTTCAGAACTGGGTCTTAAATTCTGGATGGTCTGTACTCATTTGCTAGCAGTTATGATGCTGACTCGTGCAGCTGGTTTCTCAGTGCTCAAAGCTTCCATATCATAGAAGAAGATAAAGTAACTTAGCCAGATAAATAGGATCCCAGGTGTGGGGAAGGAGAACCAATTGGGCATTTTTACAAGCTCTAAGGATTTTTTATTTAATAATTCATTTTTTAAAACCCTGAGTTACCTAGTGAACTTTGGTACCTGCTACACTTGAGATGCAGCGTGGAAAGAGGGATCAAGGTTGTCTTATAGTCCTAAACACATAGGTGAGGAAAAAGAAATTGAGAAATTAATTTTCATTTTTCTCAAGCAATAACTGAAATGTTTGGGTGAAACATTTTTCAGCATATGTGAAGGTGTTGGATCTCTTTCAAGTTTTCCTTGGTGTGTTAGCTCTAAAATTTTGCTGATTAGATTATGTTTACACTGAAGGGTGAAGACGTCAACCGGACACTTGAAGGTGGGAGGAAGCCTCTTCACTATGCAGCAGACTGTGGACAGCTTGAAATTCTGGAATTTCTGCTATTGAAAGGAGCTGACATTAATGTATGTACAGCAATTTGCAGCAGGTGTTATGGTCTTCACACACACATAAGGGATTGGTATAAGTGCCTAAATGATCATTGAAAGAGGGAGATCGAACTAAATTTGATGCATTTAAAAATATTTGAGAGGTGGTCTCCTAGCAGTTGGAAGCTTAAAATTATGTTTATTAAATGTTTTAATTCTTTGTTGGCACACTAGAAAATGTTGTTTGTAGCTATAAAAAGTTTAAATTTAATTTGATGGCAATTAGAAAAATAAATCCAGTGATCACATCAAAATGATATTTGCATGAAATACACATTGCATTTGTTAAGAGACTTCAGAAGACAGTGCAGCAAATCCTTGGCCAGGGCAGGATCAGCTGTTTAAATTAGTGTGCTCCTTTTTTCTTTGGAGACATTCTTTCTTCACACACTCAGTCATTTTGCTGTAGCTTTTTGTTGTGAAAAGACTGAGTTATAACAGCACTTAAAAATAGTGCATTGATGAAATTAAGTTCCTAACCATGTACCCCCAAATGCTGTGCCTTAGGATGCTTGTCTGCACGTTAACATGTAAGTTGATCTAAGCTTTAGTTTCTAACAAAAAGGTTTGGATTTGTTTCCTTGATGTCTGGAAAGAGTCTCTCTCTTCCTTGGGAGTTGTTCTAACCGGGGAAGAGTTAAAAGTAACATTTCAGTTGCTCTGTTTCTTCTTCGTTCGAGGAGAAGACAGCTGAAACAGTGTTTCAACCCAAACTGTTTCCTGAAGTCTGTAGCTGGCTGTGAAATGGGAGAATTTAGGAGTGGTGTTTTTAAATTATCAGCTGAATCATTGGCCTAAAAAAATAAACAAGCTTTGGGATACCCAGAATCTGTACGAAAGAAATATCTTGATGTGATCTGATTTTTTTACATGATGGATTTAAATGAAAATTCTGAGGGAATGCATTTCTGGATAATATTTTAAAATTTTTACTTCACTCTACTGTTGGTAAAAGAAGATTAAAAAGTTAAGTGAAACTTTTTAATGTTGTGTGAATTTGTCCTTCAAATAATTGTCTGAAATTTACAGGCTCCAGACAAACACAATATCACACCACTCCTATCAGCAGTCTACGAGGGCCATGTTTCCTGTGTGAAATTGCTTCTGTCAAAGGTGAGATACAAATTCTTAGAATAAGTTATCCATTAGCAAAGCATATTACTATGATTTTTTTAAATAAGATTATGATGCTCTGGATGATAAATTCAGAACATCAAATGCTGTTTGTGTTGCTAAATCAGAGAGGGCACTCTGATTATGGAGAAAGTAAGTTGAAGGAGAAAGTTTCAGGATTTTCATGGTATGGCAAAAGTAATAGCACTAAAAGTATGGTAAGCTGCAGCTACAGAGCAATGGACAGAAATCAGTCAAGAAAAAAAATATTCCTTCAGCAGACAGGGAGGAGTGGGATTTAGCTTTGGCAGCTGCTTAAGTGTTCCATGTGATGGAATCTCTCCTGTGAAGTTGCTGAGAGGTGTGGTTTCCCTCTACTTTTGCCAGATGACTGAAAACCCATCTGGGTTGGCAGAGGGAAGGGAAGTAGGAAGCCAGGCTTTCTGTCACAGAGCTTGTAAATTTTGTCCTGAGGAGAATCTGTGTTTTCACTTTGATTCCTATTACAAATATGATCAATTTTACAAAGCAGTAGGTAATTCAAGCAATGCTTTGTCTTCATTTGTATTCCTTCTTGTTTCACCTCACTTACTCTGAACAGAGGAAGTTAAGAGCATTTTCAGTATATGAACCCACTTAAAACATTTGGCCAAAGGATTTCATGCTATGTAATATTTTCATATGCCACTTCCAGGGTGAAGTTTTCATTAGCTGCCTTAATGCTGCTTAAATTTCACTGGTTTTTTCCACTTTTGTGATCTTGTCTGATGTTAGTTATGCTTTTCTGTGAAGAAATACTGTGACTGTTAATTTAGGATTCCAATGGTGCATCCAACTTGTTTAAATTTATTGTGAGGGCTGATCCTTTATTTAGGTTCATTATATACACATTAAAAAAAAAAAGGTGTCCCTAATCCCATGTAGATTTATTTCCATTTCTTTTTTGAAGTATTTTGCCTTCTGGATAAGTTGCTCAAATAATAAATAAGATGCCTCAAACCTTGAGTTCACACATGAATTCTCTGGCTGGTACTACACATTGTGCGTTCACCCTCAGTCAGTGAGGGTGTTAAGGTCCTTCCTGAACCAACTGTTTTTCACACAGCTTGTAAGAATGTATTGATCTCTGTATCTGGTGCAATTTGAACGGCATTGGTGAAATTCCTCAGTTGTAAAGATGAGGCAGTCTTAGAAAGATGTGCAGAATATTACTGCAACTGAATAGTTTGGGAAAGTGGTATTATTTTCAGATTTCTTCATGCAGAGTTAAACGTTGTACCACGTCTTATTGCTTCCATTCACATGAGCTAGCTGATTAAATATTTATAGACTGAAACTTTGCTCATCAGCTCAGCCTGTTTGAGGCAGAGCTTATATAGAGAGGTTGTTCTTCTCTTAACACAGTTATGACCCTTGTTTAAATGTCTGTTGTCACACTTTGTTTGTAGCAGTCATGTGTTCTTTGATAGCAGATACCTGGGAGATTAAGTGATTCAACCCTTATTGAAAAGTCTAAAAAATATTGACTGCTTGATGTTCTTCCTAGTTACTAGTGGGTTGTATTTTATCACTGCTTCAAATGCAGGACAAATATTGAATGCCTTATGATAGTGTATGTAGATAGTGGAACTACAATTGCAAATGATGGATCAATATCTTTAAGACTTTTTTCTTCAAAGCTGCTCCTTGTTTCTTTTGTAAATACATTTCTACTTACTGCTGAGAAGCTGCATTATCTTACATATACCTACTTTCAGTTGCCTTCATTTACCTTGTTAGCTGATATCTTGCATACATGGCCTGTGTCACACAATATCCCTTAAGCTGTTGGGCTAGAATTCAATAACCTCATTAACATATTTTGAAAGAGGAAACCAAAAATAATGAACTTTTTTTCACAAGTTTTGAGAACCAGTGAACACAGTGATGCTTATCTCCTTAGTCTGTTTTCATACCACAAAGGTAAAAAAGTTAGCAGTTTGATAAATTTAAAATTATGAAAGGAATAAGAGATTGTTTTTCACCTACTAAGATTAGATTTAAAATAAGTAATTTGATGTTGGAAGCAGCTGTTGATTCAGAAATTGAATTGTTTCAAGCTAACATTGTCTATTGCTGTCTGCAGTATATGAATTGTGTGGATGTTTGTAAACCTTTCAATGGGACTCTTGATCTGTAGAGAGAAGGGATATTTCGAGAAATCTTTTACACACTGGTCAGACACAAAATACAAAAAATACTCTTTAATAAAAGTTCTAAATTTGGAAAAGGATAGTGTATTCAAGGTGACTAGGATTTAGTCAAGGGTCATGTACGTTATTATCCTGACAAAGAAAGAAGGTTTAGATGTATTTGTATCTTAAGAAAAGAAAATAACACAAATATAAAATGTTAATAACTTTTCACTTTGGGGAAGTAGTGAATAGTTTGGAGTCATTGGACTTTTATGAGCTTTTTATTAAACTTGCTTCCAGGCAGTGTTGTACTTCTGAAGATTAAAGTGCTCTTGACCTGAACTTTGTGATTTCCTTCTCTTCCTACTGAATGTAGGCAGGAATCCTTCTGCCAAGCTAATGGGCCATTCTCTCAATTTATTACCACTGATTTTATTTAGCAGTGTCCTCCTTAGGTAGTCATGACCCTCTTACCCTACATTCAGTAAAGATGTTTTAGAAACTCAGGTTTTGCATGTCTGTAACTTTTCTGGAGTATAAATGTGCACAAGGGGGAGAAAGCTGTCCTATGTCTAAATTGCAAATTCTCTTTAAAGTTACTTCAGTTAACAGTTATATCTTTTGTACCCTAAATACTGATACATTAGTGGAGAGTTTTATAAATTAAAGTTCTTTAAACTCTGGCAGGTCAGTTACTGCACAGTTTCATTTTTCTTGAAGTCTAAGTTTCTTCAGATTTTGTGAGCTTAACATCAAGAACAGCTTTGAAGCCTTCTTGATTTCCACATGGATTCTAATCTGAGTAGTGCTATCTAAGCAGCAGAAATTATCAACACCTGCAAAAGAAGCCATTATTACTCTCATGGTTGCCTTTCTTCTCCCTGGACAAGTAGGATTATAAGTGTTGAATACCCATTAAATTGCTCAGGGTTTTTTTTTAAGGGAGGGGGAAGTTTCACAAGCAATAGGTTTCAGTGGTTTCAGCCTAAGTGTGTGTTTGTGATGATCAGCGAGTCACTTCTTGGGAACAGACAGATTCAGCTCATTTCCATACCCCACAGAAGAGCAGAGCTGCAGCATGCTTCAAACTGTTTGGGCCAAGGATGTTACATAGTGATAGGAGAGGGAAATGTTACAATTGCTCCTGTCACTGGAGTGAATCCATTGCATATACACAGAATCTGTGTCTGTATTCTGCTACCTGAAAGGTACTCAAGAAAATGAGCTGTATGGAAGATGTTACTGCAGTTATAAATATCTGTCTGTGAATTTTTTACTGGGGTTCCTGAAACATTTTTATTTTCCCAGGCTTGTTCCCTGATAGCAGAAGCCTGTCTCCCTGTGCCACAGCTGACTGCCACCAAATGAAACACTTAGTTCAGCTCATGTCTTGCACTGAGTGTCTCTAGGGACTACAAGGAAGATGAACAGCTCCAACAGGATCAGTTTGGCCAGTGGACCACAAGATGGGCACTGCTGCCCTAAAAAGCACTGAAAACCATCTTTTTACAATGACATGTTGAATATTTGCAAGAGAGTAGAAGTTTCAGAGAGGGAAAACATCGTATGTTGTGAAAAGTAATATTGGCAGCAAATCATAGTAGTATCAGGTCCAGTTTATGAGGCTGTTAGGAACAGTTACAATGGGAAGTTAGTGAAGTGAGAGTTGTCCTGGGAGCAGACATGGTATTACTATGGAAGTTTAGCAGGATTTAAAACTGTTAGGTATCCTTAGTAGGAACTATTAATCTGTGCACTTTCTTCTTGTAGTGTAATTGAGAAGGGATTTGTACTTGCTCTGTGGAGAGTGTGTGCATAAACTGAACACAAACCTGTGCTGTACACACTTTTGGCAGAGTGTCTGTACCCACATTGTTCTTTCCTGTCATTTGATTGAGCAAATACACACATTTTAAAGCAAGTTTTGCATATTTTCTCAACAAGAATCAGTTCTGGAATCAGTCCTGTGTTCTCTAATAACTTTTATCCCTTTATTTAACTACCCTGTTTATGGTTTAGTCTGTGTTTTCCCATTTGTGAATATGATTACACAATGTTCAGAACAAACATGACTAGTTAATAACCCTGTTTCTTTTCTTTTTCCTCCTCCCATAATTCTGGGACTGTGCTCGTGCTTATTATTCTGCAGTTTATCTAGCTGGTGCATTTCTGTTATCTTCTGTGCTCCCATTGCCTCCCTGTTCTGTTTTGTTGCCTTTTAGGTGTATGCATAGCTCATTCAAAATAAACCTGAGCCGTTTTGGACTTGGAAGAGAAGCACACTCCTAGATGAGTGTAGTCTTTTATAATATAGAAAGACTATAGTATGGTTTGTTAGTAAGTAAGCTCTTCCAGATGCTACCTGTCTAATTTAGCATGTGAGAAAGCTTGTTGCACCATAGATTTCATAGAAGTGTGTAACACTGAATTTTTGTGAGTAGTTGCTAGAAACAAAAAATCCTTCTGTTTCTGTCCAAGATGAAATGGTAATTTGTTGAACTTGCAACTTGCTGTGTAACAAAAGTTATGTGACGTTTTTTCTAATTCTAAATGATAAAATTGGAAACTTAGATTAGCTGCATGCTGAATAGTTTTGTACTTAAATCTCATCTGTTTGGTTTCTGAATGAAAACAATGCACTGCACTAAAAAGCTGTATCTAATCAATATAATTATGCAAGGTAGGTAACTGTTTTGACACACTTGATACTGATACAGGTTGGTGTTAGGAACTGACAGTCCCTCTCCATGTCTTTACAGGGTGCTGATAAGACTGTGAAAGGCCCAGATGGACTAACTGCCTTTGAAGCCACTGACAACCAGGCAATCAAAACTCTTCTTCAGTGACGGATGGACTGTTATCTTACATGTCTCTCCTGTGGCCTCACACTGCTGCCTGTCTGTCACTCTTTGCATCTTCCAGCTTCTTCAGCTAAATACTTTGGGGGGAGGGAAATTCTTTATGAATCAGACTAGTTAGGGGCTTGTATCAAAGATAATCTGGTTTGAGAGGGTTGAAAACTATTATGAACAGTGTCCCTCTAGGACTTCTTTTCAGTGCACAATCTCTTCCCATTTCTAGTGAAAATGGAAGAAGGAAGACAGACCATGCTATTGAATTTTTGGCTTGTAAGCCTCCTAGGTTAGTACTAAGATTTTTGTTGAAAGATTTAGATGGAATTACTGTGCTATGTACCTGAAACTAATTGTGAAGGAGACAATAGCCCCATGCTCCTAGTGTCTGCCATAATCTGAAATGTAGTAATGTAGGTGGCTGGGTTGCTTTTCTCTCTTCTCTCTCAGTGGGTAGCTTTATTCTTCTTCTGCCTAAAGCTTATGTTGCAGTTTTGAGGACTTTTGATACTAGTTATTGAAGCTGTTCTTTATATTGACTAATTGGATGTCACACTAATGTTTTTCTGACTCTTGAGTAAACCAAGAAAGACCAGTTGAGGCATGTGGTGTTACACTCCATAGTATCTGCCGAGGTACTTTCGAGTGCTTGAATTAGAAGTTTTTTCTATCCCATGTTTGTTCTAGTCCAGGACAGACATTTTTAAGTAACTGCTTTTGAGAGTTTAAAATTTCACTGTAGTTATTTCCAAAAGGATTGTGAGATGGAATTTCTTTCCGCAACATGTCAGCATAAAACTTCTAGCCATGTTTGAAAGTGGTAGGCTGTTTGGTGCACAGGATAATCAAGTCAAATGTGGAAAATGAATGATAATTATTTAGACACTTGTTTCAGGCAAGTATTGATGCTAAACCTTCCTGGTAAACATGTAAGCATTCTAAGTTCAGATGTTAGAAACAGGAAGACATACAAGTAGAAGTCTTAACTTGCTCTGACTACTGGAGAAAAAACCCCCAACCTTTAATTATGCATATCTTCAAATCAGTGTTTTATTCTTGACTTGAATGAACCTCTTAAATTTATCTTCTTAAAGCATGTGGCTTGTTCTGAAAGGTTCCTTCTCAGATAAGATTTACTATACCAGTAAGTATGACAGTACTATGTTGGTCTTGGTAATTCATGGGAAGGTATTTAATGGTGGTGTAGGGATTCCCATCACATCTTACGGTCCTCAGGATTGTCTGAGCTTCTGGCTTTCACCCTGAAAATTTTCATTAGACTGCTGATGCACCTGAAACTGAGTAACAGGTTTTATAACAGAAAAGTGTATACCACAAACTATACATTTTCCTCTTTTTTGGAATACAGATTTCAGACTTTCTGGTAACATACACAATACAGAAAATAAATGTATATAATGTCTCATGCTGAATTCTAAACAGAAGTAGCTGATATTATTTTGATATCATTGTTGAAATTGAGAGGATATATAGAAGTAGACTGGTGACTACCACTTATATTTAATGGAGACTTAGTTTTACTTGAATCATGTTACATATTACGATTGAATGTCTCAGCTCTGAAAAGCATTGCATTTAGACTGTAAAATGAGAGCAGAAACTGATTTACATCTGCACATACCATAAGAAAAACTATGGAGAAAACAATCAACTCTGGCCATAAACTGTACAGTGCAATTACTCTTTACTGCTTGGAGATGGGTGGCAAGGAAGAGCAAAAGGGTTGGAAATCAGTGATAAATCAGTTGGTGAGCTGCTGATAAAAGAACAAGAAGTTTTGGTGAACAGTGCTTTTAATGACTATTTATAAGAGAACTCTTTAATCTTCTCTCTGATCAGTGCTGGATTGTCATGTCATTGTAATAGTGTGAACACAGACTATAGGTTTAACTCTTTATTCAGCTATAAAAGTAACAATCTGTGGCATAAATTTGCCTCCATGTTCTGCTATGAAATACTTAGCTATTAAAATACTAGTCTAGGAAACTGCAATCTGTTTTTATGTGGAGAACTTGAATAATCAAGTTTTTTTTGTGTTGATTAGCATCAAGTTGTCTGGCCATAGTGGTTTTGGTTTTTTTGTTGTTTTTTTTTTTTCCTCTGTATTTTTTCCTGCCCTTCCCTTCAACTCTCATTTAAGTGAGCATTATAGTAAAGAAACAACATCTTTGTACTAACTCTTGTGGTGATTCACTGAGGCAATTTTGCCTCCCTTTTTCTACAGTTATGGGAACACCTTATTTTTTCTTACTTCACCCTAGGGGGAAAAAAAAAGGCAAACAGACTTCAGAAAGACAAGTGTTAATTTGGCTGTAATATATACCCAAGCTGCCTTTGAGATAGTTAAAAGATGGCATTTAATGTTTGGCTCATAAAGAAGAAATACTTTTTGCTTTTTGCACTACGTAAGTTGATAAATCATTTTTGCCCAGGATTTTTTTTAAAAAAAGGTAATAATAAAAGCTTATGCTTTTGTAATTGTCTGGAGACTGGGCTTGTTCATTCCTTCCCTTCTTGTTAGCTATTTTGTGGAAAAAATAATGGGTGGCTTCCTCTATCTTTGAATAGGTCCTAACTAGATGAAAATACCAAACTGTAAATTATTTTTCATTCTATAAACAGAATTTAAGTACTTTGTCGGACTGGAATTGCATATACTTGGAAATCCACTCTGTTCTTAAAGCTTTTCCTTTGAAATTTGTGCTGAATAAGTTATAACCTTAGGTATATTTTGCATTTTGTACCCTCTGCTCCTTTTTCTTGAGGAGGAGCAAATGAGAAAAGGAGTACAATAGTTAAATGGAGCTGAACATAACATTGATTATTTGTAGAAGAGGCTGGTGAGAATGGAGTGTCCTAGGTCAAGCAATTGCAGTGTTGCATGCAAAATTTCAAAATGAACTTGTCTTAATTATATTTTGTAAAGGGATAAACAATCATCTTTCTACGCAGTGACAGAAGAAAATTAGTGCTCTGTGCATTTTGATATTGACTTTCTCTTTTCACCATTGTTAACTGTTTTGACACAGTTGGGTTCATCATTATCATGGTTCATAGACATCAGAATGCTAAATGATACTGTATTTTTAAGTTTGTGTTGCAAGAATGAATGGAATAAACTTGAATTGTGCGATATGAGAATGTAGAGTTTTATTTCCCTTCCTGCTCCTGTGTTTTATTAACCTCTGGGTAAAACTTTTTATTTGCCTGCAAGACATCAAAGTTCCACCTCACATGTACTGTGATTAAACTCTTCAGGTGCTTAGAAGACTGAAACATGGAATGGAAACTGCTTTGAAAACTAAATATATAATGTTGTTTGTGGTTGTTTGTGGTTGTTTGTTTGGGGTTTTTTAAATTACACCCATTTAAAAGAGGTTTGATTATCTTTGTGGTCTTGTACTCTGCATTTTCTGCTTAAATGGTAATGCTGAAGATCTATTGAAATTAAATTCTGAGAGTCTGTAGATAGAGGGATGTTTCTCTCACTACTTGTGAAGACTAAACCAGTTTGTTCTCTCCTGTACTTCATTAAAGAAATTGAAACAGCTATTTACAGAAACCACAGCTGAAGTATAAATAAAATTGTATAGAAATGTGTATTCATTATTCTTGTGGCATCTTTACAGTGACTTTGTCAGAACATTCTTTTATAATGTTGCTTGTCAGTAGAGGTTTGGATCTAACTGTCTCAAGTGTTTGATATGATTTGTTTTAAAATATACTCTTATCAAGAAAAAGTACAGGAAGATGTGTCAAAATAGAAAACTATAAATATGAAAAAATATTTCAAAATAAATTTTTCTGCCTTTTTTTTTTGTGCTAAACTCTGAAAGGACTTCTAATGCTCTGTGCACCACCTTTCAGTCAAAGATTGGAGAAAACAAATATGTGTTCACTATAAATACCAAAACAGTTCAAACAGAGTGTTGGCCAGTGGCAACTGGTGTCTGTTTTTCAGTTCCTCTGTCCATCTCACTGGTTTTTTGTTTTGTGGGGGTTTTTTAAATCATAGAGTCATAGAATTTTAGGAGTTGAATGGACTTTACAGATGAAAGATTTGGTGTGTGGTTTGTTTTTGAATGGGCAGTTTTTCTGTAGAAGGAGATATACTAGGTGAAGGTCACATTGCAGATTTTTCCTCCCATTTGGCTAACCAAATAAATCTATACACGTAAAGACTTTCTAGTATTTCACAGAATCAGAAAATAATGAGTTGGAAGGGACCTGTGAGGATCATCTAGTCCAAGTTTGGCCCTTCACAAGGACATCCCCAATAATCACACCACGTGTCATTTGTCTGTGGCTGATCTTTTGGGAACAGATGGATTCCTCAGCTCCCCTCCAAAAGGATATTGGCTTTGCATCACTCAATTGTTTCTCTCAGTTTGGAGAAAATTGTATTCTCAGAGCTCTTCTCAAAATATTTCTGTTTTACTCGTAATATCTTGGAACAGCTTTCAACTAAATTATGTCATAAACAAATTAAATGAGTTGGTTGGAAAACAATTTCATGTAGTGCCTTGAAAGTGTTCAAATGCATTTGTAATTTTTGCCTGCTCTGAGCATTTTTTCCCTAGCAGCAGTGCTCCTCTCTCCCTGCCTTAGCAGGCAACACAGTGTTTCTAATAATTTAAAACTAGCAAGTGTTGCATTTAGACACCATTGCTTGATATTATGATCTGTGTTAATTTGGAGTGCCTTCTTGCAAGTAGAAATCCTGGAATCTCTTGAGTCTTCACTCTTCAAATCACATTTGGAAAGCACCTGAGTGCACATCTCCTTTCTCCCATGTCCTAAATGTGTCTGTTTTCAGTACACTGCAGGCTGCGACAGAATACAATATTCTTTTGTACTTTTCAGTGAGTTCTTGTTTGCTACATCATTTTGCAACATTTCAAAAATAAGAATAGAGGCTTTCATGCACTGAGGTTCATCATGTGGCCATTGAAGTTGAGAGACAGGATAGTGTGCCAAAACCACAACAGTCTGCATGTCTCATTTCATCTATCAAACTTACAATTCATTAGTGGAAAATCTCTCAGTTGTCTCAAGCTGAGCCTGAGTTTGAAGCATCCAAAACTTTGTCTCAAAAATCTTTTGTTGACCTACAATAAATTCAAGGTTGGTGCATAATATAAATATTTTATCTTTGAAACATTTCTTTACTCTGTTCCTTTAACTCAAAGGAATTCCTCAATTCATTTAGAAGAACATTCAGTTTGTTCAACCAAAGCTTTTGTTTCAAAGTAGAACAAACAAGAGAGGTTTCTTGTTCTTTATTTTCATAGAATCATAGAATCAACCAGGCTGGAAGAGACCTCAAAGATCACTGAGTCCAACCCTACCGTGGTCACTAGACCATGGCACTAAGTGCCACATCCAGTCTCAGCTTGAAAACCTCCAGGGATGGTGAATCCACCACCTCCCTGGGCAGCCCATTCCAATGCCTGATCACTCTCTCCATAAAAAATCTCTTCCTAATATCCAACCTAAACCTTCCCTGGCAGAGCTTGAGTCTGTGCCCTGTTAAGTAGTTGCCTCTAAAGTAGTTGAAGGTGGGAAGTCTTGAACAAAAGTGTGGAGCTCCTCATGGAAGTGAAGTTTTACTTCCTCTTTCTTTTTAGAATACACTTCTAGTTAACTACCAGGGTGGTAAGAGGTGCTCCAACCTGGGTGGATGGAGCCTTAAGCAGCCTGGTCTGGTGGCGAAGTGTCCCTGCCCATGACAGGGGGAGTTGGGAGTGGGTGATCTG